TTTAGATAAAATATATTTGAGTATTAAATTATTTGAAATGTAAATTGTTATTATCTTAAAAACTGATGTTATTTTTAATTTAGTTAACAATAAATAAAATTGAATATGGTCTTTATATAAAATATAAACTAAAAATACAAATTACTACAATGGGCCAAATGATTAAAGCCAACCATAACATAAAATAAATTAAACAAAAACCCAATTTTGTTATAACAATGTTTAAAAGCCCAACTCTATTAAACTTATAGCCAAACAACATTAAACTCTTTATTACTACTATTTAAGTTTCCAAACAAACCTAAAGAGTACTACAACTTTAATAAGATAGATATTCAGCTTTTATGAATAACTTGAGTTCTTACTGTATCAATATTCAAAAAATTGAGTTTTATCCAATTCAAAGAAAATGAAGAATGACTAACCCTGATTTGAGCGTAATGCAACTATGAATTATATATACTAATAACCTGTTTATGAAATTGATATGTGAACCAGCAACCGTCTTTTCTGTTCACTCACATAGCACAACCTGATTTATTTTTAAAGTAGAAGATAAACAAAATAGTTTATACACTTCAAGTCATACATAATGATATTAGCGTATTCTAAACTCAAAATACTGGAGAATCCAAAAGGATGAAACAGATTTATTGTGTAAAGGTGTGAATCTTTTTTTTCTTCTCAAAAAGCAGAGCTACCACCCCTTCTCGACATGGTCTGCATAACTCCATTCATCAGTCCTTGAAACGATTTCCCAACTCCAGCTCCAATGTCTTGTGCAAAATACTTAGCCTGCCACAGAAAAGATGTGAGTTAGCATTCCAACTTATACTAGTAACAAGAATGTGTACAGAGAAAGCTTTTAGTTTACCTCTTGTATGCTCTTCTTCATATCAAAAGCATCTTTGACTCTGTCATCCAAGAACGCCCATGTATCGCGATACTCTGCTCAACATGATATCAAACTTTAAAAACTTATGTTATTTTTTCTTCAAACACATAGCCAAGGAGGATATTTAGGACCTGGGGAGTCATCAGTAAGCATGTAAATCTCAGTCGTTGAGTAAACACCTCCAAGAACAGTACGCTTGACATACCAATCCAAATCCGATGCTCCATCTCCAACACTGTGCCATATCTCATCAACTAACATCGCCCGTTGCTTAAAACTCGTCGGAACATTCACCGGATGTGCCTGATTCCACCAAATTAGACCCATTCAAAAAATCACAAAAAAAAAACAGAGAGAAGAAGAAGAACCCAAAAACTTTACCTGAATACTAAGAGCTTGAGGCCATTTAGACATGTAAGGAATCTGCATCTCTAAACGAATCCTAACGAGCTTCGAAACACGTTCACTAGGAATCAAGTTTTGCAAATCCAACCCAGAGTCTACTCTGTCTATAAGCAGTTGCAAGCATTCATCCATAAAGTACTGAAAAACAAACAACAATCAAAGTTTCAAACTTTCATGACTCTCTCTACAGATAAAAGACATTATCATACCTCAACAAGAGCAGCTTCTTTCCTTGAGAAAGACCCAACAATAGAAGGAGACACACCAACGTCTCTCGAACCTGCAATCATCGCTTCCTCCGTCCAACCTAATCTCGCCTAAAACAACAATAACAAAACTCCCAAAAACACATTAAAAGATTGAAACTTTAGGGATAAAAAGACTGAACTTTGAGAAATATAAACTCCCCAAAACACATTAAAAGATTGAAACTTTACAGATAAAAAAGACGAATTTAGACATACCACGTGGCGAAGAGAGGCGGCGAGGACACGAGCCTGCTCTTCCTGAAACTCAGCTCTCGGTTTCCTCATGCTCTCATCTCGACGATGCCCTTCTTCCTCTCTAGCCGTGGAAGGAGGAGAAGCTGCGGTGGGATTCGATTGATTAGGGTTTAGGGATTGATTACTAATTGGAGATTCGGAAGTGTGGGAGGAGTAAGGGATGATGAGAGTGGGCCTGGGCTTGGGTAAACGGAGGAGGCGGGTGGTTGTTAAACCAGTTCCGAGAAGACGTTTCGCCGCCGTTCGGTACATTATCGCCGGGAGTTAAGGAGTTTTGGTGACACGTGGATGAGATGGTTGACACGGAGAAAGTTAAAGAGGTTTCCTTTTTGATCCTCGCTTGTCGGGAAAGTTTTAGTAATGATGATGAATAAATCAAATTGGGGTTTTATTTAATTTATATTTAATGTTTTTGCTAACTATTTGTAGTTATTTGCGTAAACGATGAGATAAGTTTGAAAATTGTACTGAATAGCCCATTTTGAGAATTCACAATCAGCATGGTTAATTTCATATGGACCAATAAGGAAGTGAATACTGAGATGATTTATACAGTTTTGTATGGTTTCGGTTATAATTTCATATAGAATTTGTCATGGTACGACGCAGGGTCTGGAGAGTTATTTTGCGGATTCCACTACACTGTTCTTGACTCAATTAGTATTAATGGGCCGGGCTGAAGGTAGACGTTGGGATGATATTATTAATCCGGGGTCGCTAGATGTTGGTTACGAGAGAGGTTTATGGTTCGATTAGGTGATGTGGGGGGAGAGGTTCTCCTGAACCGGTAATGGTTATGAGGACTAAAACCTTTTCTAACTTTATTCTGTTTTTATTTTAATATATAACTAGATTTTGAAGGGTAATCTTTTATTTTCTAAATATAAAAATTTAATATATGTTAACAATTTTATTTTCTATAAAATTTATTACATAATTTACAAATTTTTAATCTTCTTAAAAAGTAAATAATATTTTAGTCACTTAAATGGTGAATTATATTTTTTAAAAATGATTTTATTTTAAATATATTAGTTTACCAATTTAATCTATTCTTTTATATGTAATTCATTTATTATTTCTATTTTAATATAATATAGACTATACTTATAAAATTTATAAAATTGGCATATAGTATTAGACACAAAGTGTCCCACATCGGAAGTTGGAAGGGATTCTTAGTGATATATAAGATAGATGGGCCAATCCACTTATCACCAATTGGTTTTAAGTTGGAAGCCCATCTAGCTTAATATGGTATCAGCCCACGATCCACGCAGTCCAATCCGATCCTTATCGATCCAGCCCAAAGTCGGCCCATCGATCCTTGCCCGAACATTCCGAGATTGATGCCAGAGAGCCATCATCTCGAGGGGGCGTATTAGACACAAAGTGTCCCACATCGGAAGTTGGAAGGGATTCTTAGTGATATATAAGATAGATGGGCCAATCCACTTATCACCAATTGGTTTTAAGTTGGAAGCCCATCTAGCTTAATATATAGTATATTATATTTTTTATAATAAATTTTAAGTAAGATTAATGTATAATAATATTATACTTATAATTACGAAATTAATCATTGCATTAATTAAAAACTATATAAATTTTTAAAAAGATATTCTTAGATTTTTTCTCAACAGATTTTGTGATTACTAAAACTAAAATTTAAAATTACAGTTAAAATAAATTTGTTAATAATATCTTTATAATTATTTAAAAATATTATACATTAAATAAACTAATGTAAATAATCAAAACAATGTAACTGAATATATGGACCTAGTATGACTATTTTATAGTAGATAAAAAATTGTACTTCTCTTTTAATAGAGAAGATTTGGAAGAGAAATAAACAAAAATATATAATTTTTTTTTACATTTATTACTCTATTTTGCATTCCAAAATAAAGTAGATTTTGAATAAAACTCAACTTCATCGTATACATAGAAAATACTCCAAAATGTTTTTAAATGGATGGTTTGGCACGCTTGCTCATGGCTCATCTTGCTGATCCTTGTCACTGCAACTTCTTGTCTGTAAGCTAAAAGCATTGATGATGATTATTACAATATGTGTATTGATCGACTTAAATTGGCCATTCTTTTGTAGGCAATTACATCACGTTGATGGGGATTAGTTTGCGGCGAATATAATACGAAGTTGATGTACAACTTTTGTATAATGTATTTTTACATATCATTTGTATTATATATATATATATATATAATACTATATCCTTAATGTCATCAATATACATCACATGGATGAGTAATATTTAGTTCCCCTAAAACCAAAACGAAACCTTATGATTGTATATACTAATACAACGAGGCTACGTATGAATCTACGATTAGCAAAGTCAACCATGCAAAGTTTTTAAAGTGTTTTTTTAAGTGTTTATTTTGTTCCTAGAAAACAAAACCCTAAACGAATATACATGCTTGCATCTATTTTGTATTTTGATGACATTAAGGTTATAGAATTTTCGTTTTTCATCAACAAGTAACACAACCCTATATACTACGATAGGGTACCAACAAATAAGAGTCGTAAATTAAAGCTAAACTCAAAATGGTGTGCACAAAAACAAATATAACTGGATAAGTTATGCTCCACAACATTGTAAACTCTAAAAGAAAGAGGTATAAATTTTAGCATTTAGACCCAAAAAAAAGAAAATTTACTCAACTTGCCTTTGCGGATCTGTATTCCTTCCCCAACCACTACACGCATTTCCCACGAGTCTGATGATCTTTTTCGTTTAATCTAATCCCATCTACTTTCATAAGCCATAGCCCACGTTTCATATCTTATAAACTCTAACCAATAAACTCAAAACTATATGAGTTTTAATTAGTGAAAATATCTTTAGTTTTATATTAGTGAAAAAATATCTTGAGTTTTATATTAGTAAACAAATATCTTGAGTTTTAAATCAGTGAACAATAAATTGAATTTTCTATCTAATCTTAAAGTAAAGTTTCCATCAATTATGTAAAAGAAAGACTCGTTGCATTGGACGACTTTTCTTACTCTTACTTTTACATTTCAGTATAAAATTAATTTGTCGCGTAATCAGCAAACTTGGATCTAATCCGTGATCAATTCGCGCGGTTTTCTAGATGATTAATTTAACATGCTGAGTATGTTCTGATTTCACTTTGGTTCGACTTGGATAGGTTCGGTTAAGCTTAGATATCTTCGGTTACTTGTGGACAATATACAAACATGTTCAAGCGTAGTTTAAGACCAACAACAGTTGGACACTCGTCACGTTAGATTGTCACAGACAACGTGCACTTGCTGCCCCCCTTCTTTCTGGTTTCCTCCTTGTTTTGTAAGCATTTCTTTGTGTCACTTTGCTTTTCTTTTTTGAGTTCTTTAATTTCCATTTTTAACTTTATTAGTACTGTTTTTTTCTTTACTTTAAAACGCATAACAACAAAAACGTGGTCGACGGAACAACGTGGATGGTGGAGCTGTCTTTGACTGAGACCCACTCACAGTTTATTAACTCCGTGAAGATTTTCTTCGTTTATGTTTTCATCTGTTGGACGATAGTGTCCTTGAACATATCTACTAGTCGCACTTGCCAGGTATTACTATACTATAAGGTCATTTTTTGTTTGTTGGATGAGGATCTGATTAGGTCTTAAATCAACCTGTAATATTGATTTTGTGGACGAGAACACCAAATTCGCATTCGCTTCCTTCGTTGTATCGTTATTCTTCGTTACGTTCAGTCAGCCTTTTTTCTTGTCAACATTATTGAATTCAATTATACTAATATGGTTCATGGGAATTATCAATTCTGACGGTCGACATGTGGATTGACTTCAACCTTCAGCTTGGGCGGCATTTAATTACTAACCGACGGCTCACAGACTTTAATAGACAAACATTTGCATCTCTGCATGAATCACGAGTTAATAACAATTATAATAATTAGTTTAAAAATGTTTCGAGTTTTGTTATCAAAAATAAAAAATGTTTCGAGTAATATTCAAATTATAAAACTATATCATTCATTATCAAGAGCACTTACGAACTGCCAACGAGGCTTGACTGTTGACTTGTAACGCGTTTTGCTTGATTCTGTCTTACTTCACCTTATTTGTTTTGTTTGATAATTCAGAGGTTCCCCACTTACGTAGATCATTGTTCTGGATCCGATTAGGCAGTGGTTCACTTCATCCGGGAGAGCTTTACCTGGGTTGAGGACAAGGCCCAATATCCAATACCGCATTTAGTAACAAGAATTGGTAATTCCCCCGCCTGACGTCGAATCCGTGAGCATGACAATTGGCTCACAAAATCTTTATCAAACTGCTACCTTTTCTCGTCGACTTCACCTTATTTGTTGTCAATGTATATAAATATATATTTTCCCTACATTCACCATCAGAACCATGAGAAAAAAAAATTAACATAATAAATACTTCATTACAAGTTACAACTTTTAATTACTTGCTACTTATATCACACTTTATAATAACAACAGGATTCAACTTGTAGTGGAGGATTCGAATTTATAGTCACTCAACCAACATGAGAAAGTTTCATTTTAGTTATGAAATTCATTGTAATAATGTATATGGATCTCATCCGTTTATAACGAATATTGTTTCTACTTATACATGTTGTATACAAGGGTTCCTTTAGTTGTGGATAGATTACATACCAACAACCATATGTGTTTGTAAGTCATTAGAAAATATAATGTTATTATTTGAGTTTGAACAAATAATTGTTACCATATTAAGCAAATTCATATTTTGCAACTGCTAGCTTAAGCTGCTAGGAATGTTCCTCCCCCATACTTATCAAAAAGCTAAATTGTTTGATGACAATCAACATATGCTAACAATTGTAAACATACTATCTAATTAATCCATTTCAAAAAGAACCACTACATACAATTTTAACCTGCAATAAAACTGAACTTAAAAAGGAAAACATACATAAATAGATCATCTGTAAAAGAAACAAAACCTACACTTGGCTTTATTTTTGTGTAAACACTAATTACTGTAACGACAACAGTTCATGCAAACAACAAAATACAACAACTAGTCTCCTTTTGGCTTGCAAGTTACCATACTACGTGGGGCAAAACGGTAAACTCCAGGGACTGGTGTTTTGTTTGACTTCGTCGCAGAGGGGATAAAATTGTAATCTAACTAAAAAGCGTTGAACGTGGAGGAGGACAGTGAACCAAGACGCATTTCCCGACTTTGATTAAAAGAAACAATAAACAGAAAAACACGTGGTTTTTAAAGGACGCATAATTAGATAGAGTTATAATTTATTTTTATTTTTTTGTTATTGGAGGAAAAAGGAAGTTTTATTTAAGAGCCCACCACATTTCTCCCTCGTGACAAACTCAAATTTACAACAAGAAGAAGATCAAGAAGAGAGAAACTGAAACTCAGAGAAAGAAAGATAAGAGAAAACTGAAGAAGAAGAATATTGGACACGTTTCTTCCAAGTTTCTTAACGATGTCAAGTTCTATGGAGTGCTCTGCTACTCGGAGATCTTCCACAGGGAAGGCGAGCTTCTCGCTGACGTGTAGTCGATTGAGTCAGTATCTAAAGGAGAACGGTAGCTTTGGAGATCTCAGCTTAGGGATGTCATGCATGCCTGAGACCAACGGTAAGGAACCTTCTCTTTAATCTGGAATTAATATCTATAGTTTAGGTAGGAATTAGACACGTTCGTTATCTTACATATCTCTATGCGTATGAGTGTGTGAGTTAAGCTTCCGTGTTGTATTTCGTTTGATAGTGGTTAGTCTTTTGTTTTCTCCCTTAAGTTTGTTAAAATTGCTAATAAAAGTTATTGGATAGAGAGAGAGATTTAACTTGTTTTGGATCATATATGTAGGCATGTCACGTAAGCCCACAACAACCATGAGCTTATTCCCTTGTGAAGCTTCCAACGTGGATTCCATGGCCGCTGCTCCAAATGTTAAACCCAAGAATCTGTTTCCTAGGCAACCAAGCTTTTCTTCCTCATCTTCCTCTCTCCCCAAGGATGATGTCCCCAAAATGACACAGACTACATGTAGTAGGTATGTTCTGTTAAACATAAATTCTGATGTAGCTAGTAAAGCAAATAATTTTTTTCCCTGATCTTTTACTAATATATGGTGTTTTCTTGGAACACAGATCTGTGAAACCAGAGCCTCAAACTGCACCGTTGACTATATTCTACGGTGGGCAAGTGATTGTGTTCAATGACTTTTCTGCTGAGAAAGCCAAAGAAGTTATGAACTTGGCTAGCAAAGGAACCGCTCATAGCTTCACCGGTTTCACATCTACTCTTAACAATAACAACAACATCGTTCCCACCCAAAACCAAGTTCCTCATCTCATGAAAACTGCAACACAAGACCCAATCCTATCCTCCTCAGCTGCAATGGCATGCGGTAATTTTTCTCACACTTGTTTTGGTTTCCATCTCTTTTTAGCTATGTTTTTGTCACACAGCTTCTAACAAAGAATTATTTCTTTTTTTTTTTGTTATTTTACAGAACTTCCAATTGCTAGAAGAGCTTCACTTCATCGGTTCTTAGCGAAGAGAAAGGATAGGGTTACATCAAAGGCACCATACCAGTTAAGCGATCCAGCCAAAGCCTCTACAAAGCCTAAAATTGGAGACAACACCACCTCTTGGCTCGGTTTAGCAGCTGATATGTGACGTGATATATCGTTAAATAACCACAAACCGTACCGGGCTATTCTTTTGACGTTGCATCAATAAAACAAGAAGAACAAAACTCCTGCGTCCATGGTTCTTAACTATATTTTTTTCGCAAGTATTCAATTAGTAGGAAACTTCATATATTTGTATTATTATTGATTAGCGATCAATTCTTGTTAGCGTCTGTCTTTTCTAGGTATTTGTATCATGTCTGTCTAAAATCCCCCTATCTCTGGGCTATGTCAAAATTAGTCTAGTATGTTACTGATTTTTGTAAGAACAACAAATTTTGTTGAACGACGAATATCTTTAGTTTCATTTTGAATCTTTCTCTATTTCCAAAGAACTGCTCTTATTGCTCAAGCGAAAAAATGATTAAAAAAGATAAGATCATATAATTAAGATTTTCGTTTTTACCAAAAAAAAAATTATGATTTTCGAGGAAAAAAAAGACATGTATTTCCTTAAATTCTTGTCTTCTTATTATGTCCGTGGTGTGGCGTGATTCTCATTTTCTTAATTTCCAACCTACTACGTACTTTAGCTGTTCCTTTCAATTAATCGCATTTTACTGCACCAATGAATTAGTATGAGTTTAGTAGGTGTAACAACAGCTAAAAAGGAAACGTGGATCAACCAACCATGTCTTGTCCGGAACACTGGGTGAACGATCACGCAAACTTCAGCAGAGTATTCATCCCCGGAGATAGCACCAAAGCAAACATCGTGCATCATATGGGGATCAGAGACGGGAAAGAGAATTGGAAATTTCAAAATCTCGGGGATGGCTCTGTTTCATTCCTTCTTCTTTCCAAAAGTTCCGGTGGAGGAGTTGAGGATCATCTCAAAATTCAAAATGAAACGTGCTTCAACCAACCAATCATCTCAAAAGAACGTATTAGATGGATAACTGAATTGGTCCATCTACCTTATATATTATTTAGGATTTCTTTCACCTTATGATATGCTTTTTTGTCTCTAATACGTTCTTTTGAGATGATGACTCCTCGAGATTGGAGTTGAGGATCCGTGAGTTAACATGGTCGGGTGGGATATATCCAGGTTAGGTTGTGGGCGGGTTTTGGTGATGGAAACGATGTACTGGCGAGGGAAGTTTGGGGTTACGCGGCGAAGCGTGAGAAGAGTAGTGGATGGGAAGGCAGAGTTAGAGTGATAGAGAGTAAGGACGAAGATCACATCTTCCATATCAAGGAACCTGATTCTGATAATATTCGTGTTCTTGTACAGATTGATTTGTATAGTTTCTTAAAGACTAGACAAGTTGGTTGTGACAACATTGAAATTAGATTAAAACACACACACACTGGTTGTACAATTGAATAAATTGAGGATAAATGTGATTCTAATACGGTTTTGGTTTTATCATCTTCTATCCACTTTAAACCGGAAACTTTGGTATATTCTTAAGGCATTTTTTTGTTTGATACTAGAGGAGCTTCCTTGTACTTGTTGTACTGCACATGTACTTCATGTACGCAACCCTTGAAATTTCTTCTTACACAAGCAATATGAATCCTGAACAAACTACTTCCTAAGGCCATACCCCATATAGATTCTTTTACAACTAATTAAATTCACTATAATCATTCATTTATTTATCTTTTTTGGGAGAGAAAAAATATATCAAACAAACTGATAATATCATTTTTTTATTATTGTTGTCTGGTTTATCAAGATTGTCTGTATTTTGTTTTGTCTAGTTATAAAAAAACTCACAAGCCTAACATAATATGGCTTTATGACAAATCATACGAACGAACAAAAAAAAAAAAAATCGGGTATAATCAATCAACGCTGATCACAATTCTAAATTAGTAAAAATCCTTTTTATATAACGAATATTCTAGTTGGAGAAACTTGTCCTCCGGTACACCGAGAGCTCAAAACCTCAACATTTGTCGATCTATGTTGCACTTCTACATTATCCTCCATTATCGTCACCGATCTACACTCTTTACTACAAAACCCTCTATCTCCTCTGCACATTCAATAACAGAAACGCTTCATATAGAGTCTTGATGTAAAAATATGTCACAAGTTAAAAAAAAAACAAAAGACACGTAGGCAGAGGAGCTTACTTGTACATGTAAATGTCTTTGCCTAGAAGTTTCTTCTTACACAAGCAACACAAACTCAGAAACTCTTGAGAATCTCTCTTCTTCTTCGCCTCTGATTCTTCAGTTGTTTCCGTTGATGTCCGGTCACGACGATCAATGTTACCCTCCGATCTATTACCACGAAACTCAAACTCGTCATCCTTGTAATAAACCTTACTCACGCCATCACGACGACTCGTGACGCAAGTGTATTCCTCAGAGAGTTCAATCTCCGCCTGAAACTGATTTCTCCGTGCACAATGAACCGGGTTGGATCTATTCGAACCGGAACCAGAACAGTAAACCGGGTTTTGTCTCGACAAGATCTCTTGCCTGATATTAGATTTCTCAAGCGCAGCGACGATGCCTAAGCCGACTCCACCGTCATCGTACCTCTTTGAGCTACCAGGCGAGGGGAACCTCATATCTAAGGGACTTCTCGGACTCGTAGTGAAGCTTCCCGGCGAGAGAACCGATCTGTATCCGGCGACAACCATTTGAGAATTGCTTAGAAGCATAATAAAAAAAAAGGTTGAAAAGGGAGGAAAGCTATATTGAGGAACAAAGAAAAGGTTATAGAATGAGTTTTTTGATTGTGAAGAAGGAAAGAAGAAAACTTGGATAACCTAAAAGACGTAGAGCCTCGTCGCATATCCGCATTTTTCACGGGTCGGATATTCGCATTTTTTTCTTGAAAATCCCTTTAAAACGTTATTTATGCATGCTTAATTATACTTTTATTATCTTTTTTTTATTACTGCAAAGTATTATTTATATTTACGACCATTGCGATTGATAATTATTTTTTTTGGTACATTGAATTATAAGAGTTGTCATAATCTGGTGACAATATAAGATTACGTGGTTGAATCATATTCCAATTTATGTTCGATGAGTCATTTGTTTTCATTGGTTAATTTAATGTAGTTTTGTAATAGAACGTGTATGGTAAGAGAAGAAATGTGAAAGGTACGTGATCTTGTTTCATCTCCTCTTCCGAGTGTAGCAAGAAAGAAAGAAGTTTAGGATACTATTAATTAGTATTTGTTAGAAGACAAATACGTGTGGTTTTGCAACATTGACTTCATGATCAACAGTTCCAACTTCCAAGAGGAAGAGTTATGGATTTGATTTATTTATGAGTTAATGATACTGGAACTCTAATAAAATAAAGCTACAACGGAAGTAAATTTTTATCTGAAATGATCTGGAACCTACGTCGAAACTAGACAGGATCGTTCGTTGATTACACATCACAATGGAAAGACACTAAACAACAATCTAAAAAAGTGATGCCAAAAATAGAGAGAAAAAAACTACTTTCTCCATTTCTTTTTATAAATAGTTTTAATTTTTTTTTTGTTTTCAGAATAGAAATAGTTTGCAAATATCAAAGCAGATTTACATTTATTGAATATGGTGTAACTATAATCAAATAATACTAACTTATTTAGGATTAATTTAATAATAAGACAAGAGAGTAAGAAAGATCAAATCTACTTATTGACAACTCTGATGGAACAGAGAAGAAAAGCCCAGTGACCACGACGACCATTTGCTTATTGAGGATTGTTGCCAGGCCAGAAGTGAAGATGGTGAGGTGGTTGGGACGTAGAGTTTCCAACTTGATACACCAGAGGTTCACTAACAGTTTCCTCTGATGACTCGCTTGAAAACTGCGGTCCTTGAGACTGAGGTAATCCTGGCCCACCACCACTTAAGCTCAACACATTGTCTGGTCCCAAGCTTCCAACAATGACCTATATATATATATATATATATATATATATAAATCAACCAGAACCAAAGTTAGTCTCGTGAGGGCACAACTCCGACTATAAAGGGGTTTGAGAAATGGAGTAAGTAACCTGTACTGGTGATCCAGCTACAAGCCTTCCACCAACACGACCCCCAACAAGCTTGTTATCAGGACCAGCCAGAGACACGATCAAGTTACCAGTTATGGTCACAGTACCATCATGACACTCAGTACTCGAGAAAGTACCTGACAAACGAACGATATCATGTAGGCCCTGCATATATAAACATAGCAAAAAAAAAAAAAAACATATCACACACAAGACCTAAAACAGAGCTCAAAGGAGATAAAATGTTATTATACCTCATACTTAACAATTTCAAGAGGACTGTTAGATTGAAGCCACGCACTAGATACAGCGCCTGTAGCTGAGAGAATACAGACATCGCGTGGTTCTTGATTCAAAAACGCCACTAACTCCGTAGCTATGTCCTGAGAGTAATCATAAAAAAATTTTAACTAAAATCTTTAAAAAAGGTTCAAGATTTGGTTTACACAAGTCAAGACACATTACCTCTCCAGTATTGACGTGAATGACATGAGGTGTAATCGATCTTTCTCCTTCTTCTCCTGCTCACACACACACACACACACACACACACACACACAAGCAGTGATCAGAAGGGTATCAAGAAAAGAAAGAAAAACGGAGTGTTTGAATGTTACCTAAAGCGTTTCTTCGCTGCTTATTAACGGAGCCACGAGGTAACATAACATTTGCAGCTCCACCGTCAATGACTCCTCGTTGCATCGACGGTTGTTCTTGAGTCGCGACAGGGTAATGCGATGATGATCCCTCGAGCATGAGCGGTTGTTCTTGAGTCGCGACGGGGTAATGCGATGATGGTCCCTCGAGCATGAGCTGTTGTTCTTGAATCGTGACGGGGTAATGCGATGATGATCCCTCGAGCATGAGCGGTTGTTGAGGGAGATGGAGATGGAGCATAGGGAGAGAGTCAGGGGTGATGGCATTCTCCTGTGGCTGTTGCTGTTGTTGGGTTTCTTTAGAATCCATGGAAGCTTCGAGAAAGAAAAGAAACTTTACTCTGTTTTTGAGAGAAAGTGAAGATTTTCTGAGCTCAGGGCTACGTACAATGGTTTGT